ATGTGGTTCATACAACATTTCAACATCAGGTGGCAAGAAGAAATGTTTTGCGAGGTTGATGAACCACCAGAAGAACTTGGAACTACAAACAATCACTCATGCTGCTCAGGATGCTTTGGATGCCCAGGTACGTGTTCCTCGAGCACCACCACTACCTGAACCTCCAACAGAGGCACTTCAGGACTTGCACAGGTTGACACATACTCCATATCAGCCTTGGTGTGAAAGCTGCGTGGCGCATAGGGCCAGAGCTGACAGGCACCCACATGACTTTTCCTCGAAGGAAGGTTCCTGTCCTACCATTTCCTTCGACTACTTCTACACGAAGGCAGGTGAGGACAGCCAAGATCCAGATGCTTTGGTTGCGTTGGTGCTATGTGACAGTAAGACTGGATACTTGGGATGTGTTCCAATGAACAGCAAGAATCAGTTTGACTTGGCAACAAAAGAAGTCATTGCATTCTGTCAGACGCTTGGTTACAACGATGTGATGCTGCGGTGTGACAATGAGCCTACAGTGTTACAGTTGCAAAGGCTTGTGGTACAAAGCAGACAGCAGATGGGACTCAGAACACAAGCTTGCACACCATCAGCCTACCAACATGGCAATGCTTTGGCTGAGAACGCTATCCAGCGCATACGTGGCCTTGCTGGAAGCATCATGCATGGTTTGCAATTGAAGTTAGCAGCAACTGTGAGTTCAAGTCATGCGCTTTGGTCATGGTGCATGAGGCATGCAGCTTGGGTACTCAACCGTTTCAATCCTCATCAAGGGCTTACTGCATACGAGGTTGTGTATGGCAAAGCTTACAATGGTCAGGTTTGTGAATACGGTGAACCAGTGTTGGGGTTTTCCAGGGCTACAATGAAAGGCAACCCTAAGTGGCACAGAATGCTGTTCCTGGGGAAGGTAGAAGGCCAAGACAGTTTCCTTCTCTTCAATGGCACGGCACTCATACTCACGAGATCTGTGCGCAGGGTGAAAACAAACTGGGTAACCCACATGGCGTTTTACAAGGAGTTCAACCTTTACTCATGGCAGTACAAAGTTGGATTTGGTGGCAGGGTTGTGCCAACACGTCGAAGAGTTACTGCAAAATCAGCCTCTTTCACTCCACCCATTGGCCTGATACAGCCCAGCAGTTTGGTGGACGAGGATGCTGAGGCAGTCAAGGCCAAGGCACGTGAAGAGAGAATGGAAGAAGATGAATTGCAGAGAATGACAGAGTTTGACAAACCCAAGGAGATTCAGCGTGAGGTTGCGTTTGGGGATGGTCCAGTGTTTGAGGAGCTCAGTGGTCCTTTGACCGTGGCACACCAACCTGAAGCAGTTGTGCCTACCTCTACAAGTGTAACAGCTGCAGAGGGAACAACAAGTGCAACTTTGGTTTCAGGTGTTTTGCCTTCAGGTGAGATGTCTATGGTTTTGCAGCCCGATCCAGGTCTCCAAGTTCCTCAGACTCCACAGGACATGCCTGGTCCATCAGCCCCAATCAGTCCGAGAAACTCTCCCACAACTAGGACTCATGTAGGTGATGTTGCAGAAGGAGAAGCAAAACGTGCGAAGGTGGAGGATCCCAAGAAACAACGCATTGAACGTTTGATGGCAGAGCAAAACAGGATGATCAGAACAGTTTCCTTTGGTGATGAAAGTTACCATACTCTGGATTCATACGAGGTTGAGTTTCAGGAGGAGCATGGTGATGTGGAAGATCCATGGAAGGATGAAGATGAGCTATACCTTGGAGGTGTAGGAGAACAGTTATGGAGTGATCACAGTTTGGATCAGCAGCCACCACCACCTGGACCAGAGATTGATGCGCTAGCAGATGAGTTGGAAATCAACAGGTTACTCGAGATGAAGGTTCTGGTCTCTCCCTCAAAGTTTGATGGCGTTGTGCAGGGCAGACTTACAACCAAGTTTGTGCGAGACTGGCGCAAGAAAGTCTACGTTGGGTTTGGAGATTCACGTGAACGTTGGATGCGCAGAAGCAGACTGGTAGCCCGGGAGTATGCAACAACAAAAAGGGATGACACCTTTTCCCCGGCTACAGGTGCTCACACTTCCAATTTACTACCATTACTTTTCCTGGAGCGCAAGGTGGAATCAGAAGGATGTGGTGAAGGCTACAAACCTTTGTTGGCCAGTTTGGATATCAAGGATGCGTTTTTGCAGGTACCTCAGGCAGAGCCAACACAAGTTGACCTGAGGGGAACTCCATACGTTGTGCTGAAAAATCTACCTGGTCAAAGACAAGGTTCCAAGGAATGGTACTGGTATTTCAGAAAGTTTTTGGAAGAGCAATTGCAATTTACGTTTTGCAGTGAGCAACCATGTCTTGCAAGAGTTGCGGAAGCGGCAGTGCTGATGCATGTGGATGATCTACTGTTTTGTGGGTCGAACCACTACTTCCACAAAGTGTTTCTTCCCAAGTGCCAAGAGAAGTTTACGGTGAACTTTGCAGAGCTTGGTGCAACAGACTCCAACATCAGTTTTCTCAAGAAGAAGATCATCAGAATGGATGATGGAATTTTGGTGACGCCTGGAATTCCAGTAGCAAGGATTGTCGAGGCTTTTGAAGAATCTTTTGGACCGGTGCGGGGGCAAGTCATACCATGTGACAACTCTATACAGATGGAAGATGTTTCTCAACTTCTGAGCTATGAGGATGCAACAAGTTTTCGATCAGTGGTTGGAATGGCATTGTACCTTGGCAGAGACCGGCCAGACGCTATCTTCACCATCAAGGAGGTGGCATCAAGGATGAGTAAGCCTACAGTGACAGCCTTGCAACACCTGAGAAAACTGGTGGGCTACTTGAAGCAAACGGGTGACATTGGAGTCAAATTACAATGTCCACAGCCTGGTCAGGGAAAATGGAAGACAACAACGGAGAACAGTTGGGTTCTTGAAACATACTCAGACGCTGACTGGGCAGGGAACAAGGCACACAGAAAGTCAACTTCATGTGGAATGCATTTTCTCAACGGAAGCTTTTTGTATGGCAGCTCGCGCACCCAGCGCGTGGTTTCGCTGTCAAGCTGCGAGTCTGAACTACACTCTATCGTGAGTGCAATGTCCGATGCAATTTTTGTCAGAAGGTGCATTGAGTTTGTGCTGCAGACGACAATCATGCAGGTTCACTACACGGATAGCAGTTCAGCGCGGCAGTTGGTGAACAGACAGGGAGTTGGGAAGATCCGACATTTGTCGGGAAAAATACTTTGGGTTCAACACAAGACCCAAAGCGGAGAGGTCATGTTGACACAGATCCCCACGACGTTCAACATAGGGGATATAGGCACAAAATGCCTTGCGAGGAAAAGACTTCTGGCTTTAATGGGTGAAGCAGGTATGTTCTTTGTGGAAAGCCGCGAGCAGGTTGGACAGACAGAGCAATCAGAACTGGTGGCCAATGGAACAAACTCCAAAACCATGACAAAGCTTGCAAAGACCTTACTCAGGTTGACAGTCGTCATGGGCCTTGAGCCTGGCACAGTGACAGCGCAGGAGGAGATTTGCAAAAGTGATGCGAAGCATGGTGCAAATGATGGATTCGCAATGTATGCCATTTTGGCATTGCTGGTTTTCCTCTGGTTGGTTTTTGCATGCACAGCAGTTTGGTTTTGGAAAAGGTTACAAATGAGATTGTACTGGAATGAACTCCAACAGGCCGAGACTGACAGCTTCATGGGCTCACAACGTGACATGTTGGAAAACATACGCAGACAGGTTCAAAGAGTGGATGATGATCTACGAACTCATGTCGACCAATGGACAACAGATGCAGGAGTTCTAGAAGACTCCATCGATGGTTTACGTTTTGGACTGAGTGAGATTGGTGGTTTCGTGCGCTACAATGAGTTAAGCAGAGATCAGAGGACATCAATGATGACTCAGGAGCGTGCAAACATGGTGATGCACGACATGCGGCGCCGAGCACCAGAGACCACAGATCCAGAAACACCAGAAAGACCATCAATCACAGCGGCCCCAACTTCAAGTTTGGTGCCGAGAGCAGTCAGAACTGGAGTTTACTATGAAGGAGAAGAACCTGAAGAAGAAAGTCCAACAGACGATGAGATGGGTGAAGCAGAAGAACCACAGCCAACAGAGTTAAGCAATCTGATGACAAATTTGAGAAGGCTTCAAAATGAAGCTATTGCCAATGAGAGGTATGAGGACGCAAGTGATCTCCAATGCTCAATCCTTGCGTGCCTCAACGCAATTCGAGACAGCACAGGGTTGAATGTAGTTCTGATCACAACGATCAGAAATTGTTTTCAAAGACTTTTCAGGAAGAACAGAAATCGAGGCAACAATGAGGTTGCCAACACGTTCCATATGTACGTGGAGAACTTTCAACTTGTGCTGCAGTGAAAAGGATGCCGGGCAATCCTAAATCCCGAGGGGCATAGACCCTTAAAATCCCAAAGGGGAAACAGCTGAGAAAAAAGGCAGACATTTGAGCTACAGCTGCAAGTGTCTGAGGAGGAGCGCAAAGAGTTTCCAGAAGCACTCATGGCTGTGATGACACGCGCAAATCGAGATGTGTAACAGTTTCATGTGGCATGGACATGCATGACAAACGTCATGGACTTCAGGCCCAAATTGCACAGGAAAACAAAGCGGCCGCCGTTCTGCCATTTTCTTTGCAGAAACAGTCCACAAGTGCAGAAACAGTCCACAAGTCGACAACCCGAATTTCCAGACAGGGTATTCAAGGTTTTCTGTTGCGAATCATCAAAACACATCCGCAAATACCTAATGACCTATCCTCTCAAGGCGGTGACCGGTGATGGAACAAACAGGTGCTCATTTGAACACAAAGCAAAAAAATGCACATGAGTTTCGGCTCCAGGGTGTGAAAATTGGATCAAATTTGGTTCTGCGGGGAACCGTGGGCCATTAGTGCGAGGCAGATATTTTGGTCTGCCGTAGCATGAGTGAAAAAAAAATGTGTCAGATTGCTTTCTGACGACATGGTGATCTCAAGGTCATGGTCGACAAAACCAGGTTCGTTGAGCTGTTGAAGGCAGGGGCGCAACAAATTGTTGCGTTGATGAAAAATGTGACATGAGTACCGAATTTCACACAACCGTTCTGATGATGTTTGCGGGGTCAGGGGTTGCAAACTCCGGACAATTCTGTGCGACAGCAAGCGGAAACGATGCGTCGAACCCAGCAAGTTACGTCTCATAGGGGGGATTGGTTTAGTAGTGTGATGGTGACTGTGAACAAAAATAGATGGCCAAAAGGGTGGATCTTGAAAATTTTAAGCATCCAGAACGGTTGGTCCAAGGTACCAGCAAGCAAAGCAGGCCGAGCCAGACAATCTCATTATTGGGATGATGCGAAGATCTTGGACGTTGCATGTTGCTTTGGGAAACGTTGGACAAAAAACATGTTTTTGAACTCTTGCATTCTTGGATATGATTTGACATCCGAACTGAGGACTGTTCTGGGAAGCGCAGATGTGGATGAAGGCGTACGAAGGTCAGCGGATTATTGGTACTTGGTACTACTTGGCACGGAAAGAAAACATTCAGATCAAAAATGCATTTGCTTTAAATTGTTTGACAAAAAAAAATTGAAACAACCAAGTAAGGTTTTCAAAGGAAACAGTGAATTGCACAAACAACAATGAAATCCCAAACAAGTAGCAACAATTTGGCAACAATGTCGTAGTTTGCTGTCAAGTCTTGATCATGGCAACAAAATGCATGCGGAGGCACGATTGCGTCCTTCTGCGGCAGCTGGTCACCCGCGGTTCTGAAAAGGACTTTGTTTATGCCAGGACGGAGGAACCATGTCGGCGCAAATCCGAAATTTTATTGCTGATCCATATTTGGCAGAACTCTGTTTGACTTATTCTGTTTGAAAAAATATTGCCAAAAGGACACTTGTCTAAAATGATTTTAAATTTGATTGCGTCGAGTTGCAGGATAACCGATGCACACAAGCAGGAGGCTGGCTGGGCATGATGAGTTGAACCTGATTCAATTTAGTGGACACTCTGGGCTGGGATTGATTGTTCGTATGATACTCTTGGCAACTTTGACAACATGTTGTGACATTTGTGAATTATGTTGTTGTTCCTGTTCCTGCTTTCCTTCCTGCACTTTGAAAACACATCAAAAAAATGCTCAGGTTGCGAATGAACTCTTGCGACGATACGAACAGGAGGACATTCAAAAAATAACATGTTTCATATGCAAGGGTCGTGAGTGATCCTCAGTGCTCACAAGCAATCTATTTGAACTTCGGAAAATTGAGTTTCAACCTGTTTTGGTTCCTGCTGTTTGACTTCCGCTGTGCATGTGAGATGTTCACCCCTCTCACAACGTTTTCGTGTTCGCTCTCCTTTGCCAGCTGGGACCATCTTACAACAAAGTTTCCCGTTAATTCACCAAAAGACATGAGGAACATGGGATGTAATGTGTTGGGTCCAGCTGTTCCGGTCACCAAAAATGTTGCCTGGGGTAAAAATATCCGCGATTTCGGAAAGCAATTCCTCGCGCCAAATGTCCCGCACCTTGACCTGTGCTTGATTGACTTGAACGCATAGATTGGAATATACTGTATGCACTTCCTAAATGTCCTCGTTTGCCTTTTTCTCAGTTTGTTGATCATTGCTTGCAAAAACAATCGGATGTAGCTGAGAATGCCAGACACAGGAAAACCGCTCATGTTTCGGTAGAACTCATAATTCTTCCAAGCTACAAGCGCAGTGGTAATTCCAGACTCTGTCGGTTCCTTGCACGGCACCAAGCAAGTCTCAGCACCAAGATCCTTTTTTTAGCCGGTACAAACCTCAAAGAATGTTTCCCAAAAGGCCGACAACACAGTCCTGGCCAAACCTGTATTCTACATTCAAAAAAGGTTCACTGTTTCTTTCCTCGTTATTTCTATTCTTGTGGAAAGCATTCCAGCTGTGTTCGGGCCATCATGCAAGACAGTGGCTGCATTAGATCCTGTCGCATTTTGGACCTTTGGGTCTCTGCAGAAATCGCCAGCAATGCAGAAGAAGATTGGTGAGGCCATTCATTTTTTCAGGGAAGCTAAGCTACTGCAAGTGGGCCATTTCAAAAAGACTTTTTCCTTCTGTCAGACCTCTGCAGGTGGTTTCCAAGCTCGCCGAGTATGTTTGCGACAAGGACAGATAGCTGTGGGGATTCAATGGGATTTCCTACACAAAATCCGTCTCCAAGTCCCAATCCATGCCAAGCAAGGCAGAGTTGCAGAATGACCTTGCCAGCATTGCAATGAAATGCACCATGAAAGCCAATAATGCCAATATGGAGGATGATCCCAGGGGCAGCCTGGCACCAGGCAATCCCTCTGGTTGGCACAGCACTCAGAATTCAACTGTGCAAAGCAGGTCAATGCAGATCCTGTAGCACGGGGTGCAGTTGGACTCAGTGTATAAAGATGTATAAAGTGCTTTGCCCCTGAGCCGACAAGCGATCCGATTTTGTAGCACAAGATCCAGATACCGGGATATGTTGGATGGGTTTACTCCCAGTACCTAATCAAAAGAATCAAACTTAGTATATACTGTACTTCGTTTTCGTTGGAGCTGTCGCACTTTGTTCCCTTGAGGCCTGCCCTTTTGCCGCAGGTCTTCAGAATGGTCTCCTCCTGAGATTCTTATCCACGGCCTTACGCAGTGCACTAAATCTGCTAGTTTTGCCATTTGCAAGCGTAGCCGCGAAATATTGCATCCCGCTGGATTCTATGACAGGCTGATACAAGCACAGCCAGCTCGATTGAGAGCTGTGAGTCAGCCCTCAGACTTCTAAAGGCGCAGCAGGGGGAGCTTGATTAGTAGTCAGATTCCACAGAGATTGCTAGAGAGCAGAACTGCTGTTTGTGCAGAGCCCTGAGGACTGCGTTCCCACGCTCAAGGATCACATTGTGGAAGCTAAGCAACAGTGGGTGTCTCAGGGACGGCCAGCTATGAGGTTTCACAAGTCTTCTGCTGGCGCAAGGCCGTAAAATTTTTTCTGTCAGCTTTGCCGTAAAAATTGAAAAGATCTGAAAAGCATCAAAGGGATTCAAAGGGCCGAGGGCCAGCATCAAAGCGTGCGGCCAAGGCTTGGCCAAATCATTCAGAATGGATTGCAATCTCCGCAGGCACAGTCAGAAAATGTCAGAAACAGCCATGGGGATCCATGGGGTTCAGATTTTGAAGTCTTGGGTTGCTGCGTCCAAATGCTACAGTTTGAGTGGCTTTTTGGCAGTAGAAGTGACAGGTCAAACACAAAGTGGCAACTTTTCTCCTGGTGTGTGAGATCGTGACGGAAACCGAAAAGAAAGGCTCCACTTGGGTGTTGTTGACAGCAGTCAAGGTGTTTGCATATTTGGGTCACACCAACACCAACTGGCCATGTCAACTGAAAACTTCATATCTTTGCACACAATCCCCCGACTTTCTGCTGCTCCGTTCCATCTTTGGAGTTTGATATCTTTGTGCAGTTCGAAGGCCTCTAAGTTTATTGCCGAGATTGGTCGTGATTTGCCTAGTGACCTAGTGTTGCCAGATGTGGTGATGTGGTGCGATATGCCCTTAGCCCGTCCCCTGTCAGTTGTTGCATTGTGTTGCATTCATGAACCCCGAACGCAGCATGGGCGCCGCTTCTCTCCACCGTGGGCGTTCTTGTGCAAGTGCTTGGCTGAGACCAGGGAGGAAGATATGTTCCAGCATCTTTCAACGGAAAGAACACAAGGGATCAGGAGTGAGAACTCACATGTGTGGATGATACATTTGCAGATAACCTGTCATTCGTGGTGATTCGTGGTGGTGGTGGTGAAATCATGAGCTTGCTGAGCTTACGTATTGCATGGCCGGCATGGCTCAAACAGCTGTTTGCCATGGCGAGAGCGGGACAAGCTGCACGGAGTGCCGCATTGTGGCTCAGGCTGGCGTTTAGCCCGGTTCCTTTTCGGGTCCTCCTGTCTGCTTCACTAATTAATCATGTCAATGATGTCAATGATGACGACGATGGTGATGACGATGATGATGAGGATGAAGATGAGGAGGAGGAGGACGACGATATTCTATTTCACCATTGTGCTTATGCATGCAAGCAGACCACAAGAGACAGTGAATCTCATCAACGTAACAAAACGACCAAAAACTGTAGTCACTCATGTCAACCCTGGATGATTAAACCCCTAGTCTGTTTAATTGGGGGAGTAAACCATAACCATCCTTTATCAATCCAGGGTTGACATTACTGTCTTGCGGCACAGGCGAAGTGGTTCAGGACCGTTTGAAACCGTTTGAAACCGTTTGCCTGGAAACCTTTGTATCTGATTTGTGGCCTCGGAGGTGCGACCTGCGCCTCGATGACAATTTGGCTTTGAAGGCTCGGATTCACAGTGAATCGATGCGAATCGATGCGAATCGAAGCTAACTTACCGAGTTTACCGGGCTTACCGTCACTGAGAAAACTGCACAGTCCAATGAAATTGCAATGATCCTTACTGTTGGGCAGTTTCTTCTCCCATGTGCATGAGTGGGAGAAGATGTTCTTTCACATGCCTCAGGCAGCAGCTGAAGGTGTTCAAACGCTCCTTCCAGTCTACGTTTTTGATCGAGAAAAGTTCAATACTCCCACCTTGGCAGGCGAGGAATCTGAGAATTCTAGGGAAAAAGAGCGGGAGAGAGAGAGAGAGAGAACATTGGAACTATTAAAACTCAAAGATTTGCAGCGATTGATGTGCACTTGGTTCGAGGATGCCAACGACGTTGTGCTGATCTTAGGGTTTTTGGTGCTGAGGTGCTCGCAAAAGCAGTGCTCGCAGGGCTCGCTTTCTCTTGGAAAGTGTGCAGTGCCTGCGGCGCCACCTTGAAAAGGCGGGCTCAGGACTGGCAGTTGCACTGGGTCCACCACAAGAGGCACGCCTCAGTTTCGTGCTGTCTTTGTGTTTTGGAATTTACAAAATTGAAACTGTGGAAGACAGATAGAGAGCAGGGGCTCGTTACCAAACGGTCAGGTTATTCCAAAGCTCTGCAATGGCTTGGCCAAAGTTATCGTTACCAAGGCATTTGGTTGGGAGGGCACATGAGGTCAAATTGCAGGCAGAGAAAGATGTCCATCCTGGCCAATTGTCTTCTTGAGTCGCAGTCAAGTTCCAAATAGCCCTGCAAACCAACCAATCATCACAGTACTGGTGTTCCGTGCTCCGGATGTGATGCGGCTGTGTCTTCTTTCACACTCTCATTTGCGCAGCGTTCTCAAAACTTCTTGGATCCTGGTATATGTGCCAGTTTAAATTTTACAGCATGACTAATTTGCAGGGCTACTGCAGCGAGGAGCAGCGAGAGGCAGGTGCTGAGTGCTGATGTTTTTTCAGTCAATCTCCATGCAATGCAGTCTATGCTTTTTGCATCCCTTTGTGAAAATTTGTCAATAAATCATCCTCGCCAGCATAGTGAAAGGAAATGAACTCAATACAGTATTTATAGGAATATTGTGGGATGGTAGTGCATGTTGTCAGAAGATGTCAGAAGCTCAAAGCCGAAAATGAGGAACATTTGGTCGCGAAGCGCTTGAAGAGTGCAGGGGCTGATCTGCAGTCTGTTTGGGGCGGCACCCTTTACATGCCAGAGGACCACACTTTTTTTTCTTTTTACTCTTTGCTTTCGAAGATTTTGAGCAGAATCTGACATGGGTCCATGGTGGTCCCATTGGTCGATGTTGGATAGCCTCCAAGAGGAGTGCGGACAGCCACCAAACAGTACACCCTTACTCTTTACATCGTTCAGGAATAAGGCGCCTCTGCATGTGCAAACTTGTTAGCTTATCTTACTTTTAATGAGTGAAACTTCTGCTGACCTGAACCAAATTCAATCCTCGCAGTGTAGCCTTTACACTTTACACTTTACACTGAATTTTACATTTTTGTTGCCCTCCTTTCCTTGCATCAGAGGCAGAAGGACGAGGGCAAATCCGTGCACCACTACCAGCACCAAAGCAGTTGCCACCTGTGCCAGATTTAGGAGATTTGAAGGAGGCATTGAGTTCCTTGGAGATGGAGAGAGATGGCAGAAATTAGATTTTATGAAAGAGGACCGCGGAATACCGAGGAGCCTTTTTTCTCGGGTCAGCTCATGGCTGAGGCTTTCTTCCTACATTGAAGGAACTGGGGTACGATGATGACGAAGTGGAAGAAGCCATGCGGGATGATCCTAGAGGCGCTTCCCAACTTTGAATGTTCGTGCCCTGTGTGTTAGATCAAAATGAAGTAGCCGCGTTGCCTTGATAAGTGGCCCTGCCGATATTGAAACAGTTTTGATTCCCACCGCGTACACTTAGACGAGTCTTAGATATTTTATGTTTTCCCCACATCTTTGTGTGGGGTTCTTGTTTTTGGTTGTGCACTCCCGCCTGCCTCCTTCTCCTCCTCCCGCCGCCTCCCTCAGACCCAACTTGCTCACACACAACTTACTCACACCCAACTTAATCACACACACACACAACTTAATCACACACACACACAACTTACTCACACACACACACAACTTGTCCACACACAACTTGTTCAAACACACTTGTTCACACACAACTTGTTCACACACAACTTGCTCACGCACAACTTGTTCACACACAACTTACTGACATGTCCACACACAACTTGTTCACACACACAACTTGTCCACACACACACAGCTTGTTCACACACAACTTGCTCACACACAACTTGTCCACACACAGCTTGTTCACACACAACTTACTCACACACAAGTTGCTCACATTGCGTGGCACTTGGCGACATCGACCTCCGTGGCAGGCGTGGCAGGCGTGGCACTTCCAGACATGGACCTTCACTTTGCGTGGCAGGCGTGGCACTTATGGCACTGGGCTGCCTGTGGTGGCGCGCTTGGTTCCCGTTTGACGCCGTTGTCGCCGCGGCTGTTGGCGTGGCAGGCGTGGAACTTGCGACATCGACCTTCACTTCCCGTGGCAGGGGTGGCACTTGGAGACATCCACGCTGCAAGTGAGTCCATCTCTCTCAAATACGACTTTGTCACACACAACTTTGTCACACACAACTCTTTCACACAGAACTTTGCCACAGACAACTTTGTCACACACACACACAACTCTTTCACACACAAGTTTATACAACTTTGTCACAGACAATCTTTCACACACACACAACTTTGTCACACACACAACTTTGTCAAACGCACAATCTTTTACACACACTAGACAAGAATGGATCATTATATGATCCGGCAGGAACTGAATCCTGAAACATGCAAACCAGCCTAGATCGTTAGATTTATGCAGGTACGTTTACACGGGTCCCGGGGGGGTGTCTTCGGTGGCCACCGACCCCCCCGGGACCCCGGTGGCCCCCTGCATTGTAATTAGATTTAGAAAGGGAGAGGACAAAGGAAGAAAAAAGAGAGAAGTTTTACATCTATTTAGATGTTACACACACACACACCCGGCCGGAGCCGGGTCAACCCTGAAAGGCAAGAGGAAGAAAAAAGCGGACACACGACGGGCAGACGGCCAAAACAGCGCAGGGGGGGGAGGGGAACAGACGGACCTCCAGAACCAACCTACACGGCGAAACGGACCTGACAAAAACAGCGCACACACCTAAACCCAACGACACGTTACGGAGAGGCACGCGGGGAAAGATTAGGGACCAATGGGGAACTAGTTGATGCCAGACAATAACCAAAACAATTAATTAAAAACAGGACCCAGTTCCTAGACCTACTGTTCGTGCAATTGTGCCACAACAGGCCCGTGTTCCAGTCAGCCACGAGGGCATAAAACGGCTTTCAAGTTCCACCGAATTAGGTGCACAACATGTTTCACCTCACCAGACAACCATCAAAAAGAAGAATACCACACCTGTAAGACGTGTGCCTGCCTGATTCCTGTATCAAATGCTGTTGTCATGAATCGTCAAAAGCAGCTGCGAAAAAGGAGGTTTCTGGCGGTTCGGCATGGCTTCACTTGACAGAGTGCAAAACACTAGAATCCCTGGGACCACAGGAGCCGCGGGACGTCTTCAAAGGTGCAAAACCGCAAGGCCAACTGTTGCGATTTACTTAGATGAATTACCAATAAAATGTGTGAATTCAGAATTCCAGACTGTCGACGCTCACCCTAAAGAGGGTTGCCTCAAATGGCTCCGTGGCACCATGTCGGAGCCACCATGGAAATCACACTAGACAAGAATGGATCATTATATGATCCGGCAGGAACTGAATCCTGAAACATGCAAACCAGCCTAGATCGTTAGATTTATGCAGGTACGTTTACACGGGTCCCGGGGGGGTGTCTTCGGTGGCCACCGACCCCCCCGGGACCCCGGTGGCCCCCTGCATTGTAATTAGATTTAGAAAGAGAGAGGACAAAGGAAGAAAAAAGAGAGAAGTTTTACATCTATTTAGATGTTACACACACACACACAACTTTGTCACACACTCTTCACATACAACTTTTAAAATTTCGATCCTCCACCATCTCCTTTGTCCTTTCTTCTTTCTCCGTGCCGCTTCAACCACTTTTTCGGACTGTTGAAAGAAATTGACTTGTGGGGTTATCCGGTCCTTTAATTTTAATGATATTTTGATATTCATTTTTCCTCGTTCATGTCGTTCATTTCGTTCAAGTTGTTTCTCCCAGGTGTCCTTCCCTTCCAGGGTGGCGAAGACGCGGTAGTGGACTCAGTGGACTCAGTGAGATGTCAGACAGATCTCAGATGGTCTCAGATGGTCTCAGATTGACTCAGATTTTATATGGTTTTATGGTTTTATCAAGTTTGATTTAAATTCAACATGATCTTATTCAAATAGTGATTAAATAGTGGCCTCAGTGACCTCTTGTGGTCTTGTGATTGTGCTGATCAGGCGTTGGCCAGACTCAACAAGTGGATGTTCGATGATGACCACTTGAAAGAGTACTTTGATATCAGGTGGCGTGGTGAAACTTAAAAGTTGAGTTCAACCTTGTCGCACATTCGTTGCGCTCTGTGATGCCTTGTTTGCCACTTGAGGAATGGCATGCTGGGTGAAGGCTACTCGTCAAAGCTCAGCCCTTGGCTGGCGCTGGGCTGCATCTCGCCACGTCGCATTTGGTCTGAGGCATACGGTTTTTGGAGCAAATTCAGATGATTCTATGATCGTCTACGATTGTTTGCGATTGTCAATGATGTTACACATGTTACAACGATGTTGTAGGTCATACAAAAGTGTTGGATACTATGCACAGAATTAGATAGATATGCACATATTCGACCTATGTACTATACAGACTATATTACATTTTGTTTGTGTGGATATGTCATGGATCAGGCAATACAAAAAAAACAGAAACACGTCACTTGTTAAAACCTTGGAGGCGAAGCGCTATGAGACTGAGAGGCGCATACAGAACAAGTCCACCTATTGGTTCCTTTGAATGCAATGTGTGGTTCCTGACAGCATGATTGAGCAGAGAATGGTTGATCATCCTGGCATTTTTTTGAGCTAGGCTCGTTTTCGAGCTGACTTGGCGCGACTTTTTCATCTACATGGCATGGAGTCAGGGTCCCTTGCCTCAGCAACCGTTAGAAAAACAAAGGAATTGACACCAACGGGCTCTGGGGGCAGATGTGCGCACAAAGACATTAGATGTTTCTGCAAGTTTCAGGATCAATAAGGCAATCCGTGCGAATGCTTTCATTTCTTCCCCACCAAGCAAAGGAGACAAGATCTTCATTCCCGGTGGAGTGACTGGAGACAGGACCATTGGAGATCGGATCAGATCGGTAAGGATCCGTAAGGTTTGACACTGCATGGCAAAGTTGACGACTCATCGACCCATTCCAGGACTGCTTGGAAAGGTTCAATGGACAAGCTGGAGAGGTGCCAAGGGTTTCGGCCAAGAAATATCAAGAAATGACAGATATGGGATGCCAATGGATGCCATATTTTTTGAATCCTCAAAGCTTTGTACATAGTAAATTAATTTTATGAAAACGAGGTGATTGCACTGAAATATCCACGTTATTAGCACGTTTCTTGCGTGTCTTGAGACGACTCTGTTGAGGTGGAAGGAAGGACAGACAGGAGATCAACTGGTGGATGCCAACATGCGAGAGCTGAAGGCTACGGGCTTCATGAGCAATCGAGGAAGACAAAATGTGGTGACTTGGACTCTTTCCAACATTGCACCGCAATCCAAGGGGTATCTGATGAATTGGTTTAGAGTCGGAAGATTGGATGTGAATCGATTATCTTATTAGTCTGCTAATCATGTTGATCAGAATTACTAAGAGAAGAAAAGGACTGGAGCAGGTACGCCTATTATGCATTTACTTCCTTTGTACACTTCGTTTGGGCTTCCAAACCTTTGCCTCTCTCACTCCAAGGCTAGTTTCCTGATCTTTGACTTGGGTGTGGATTGGCGATACGGTGCTGCTCATTTTGAGGAACTCTTGCTGGACTATGATCCCTGCTCTAACTGGGGGAACTGGGTGCCCGCAGCCTGTTGAGACAGTGGAAGATTTGCACACTTGTAAGCAGCAGCCAATCTCCACTAGAATCCAGAGCACTTCACAGTTAGCAATGCCCACGGACTGAATCCGACTGACATGCGGAAGGGCAGCTTCGCGACCCCAATCTGTGATACAGTCCTGCATGACTGAAGCACTTGAAGTCCTGACAGGTCGCAGCTGCCGGCCTCACAGGTCAGCGCATCAACAAGTTCAATACCAGGCACGCCGTGGTGGCAAGCGGCTTAGGAAGCATATACATATACGAACACATATTACGCACATGTATGTATATAAATATATATGTAATATTATAAAGACGCTGTATATACTGTGTATATATACATACATATATATACATATTATATATATATACACATATGTATATATATATATGTATATATATATATCTCTATGTATATATATATATATGTATGTATGTATGTATGTATGTATGTATGTGTATGTGTATGTGTATGTGTATGTGTATGTGTATGTGTATGTGTATGTGTATGTGTATGTGTATGTGTATGTGTATGTGTATGTGTATGTGTATGTGTATGTGTGTATATATATATGTACATGTATATAGTATATATATATGTATGTATGTAATGTAATGTAATGTAATGTAATGTAATGTAATGTAATGTAATGTAATGTAATGTAATGTAATGTATGTGTATGTATGTATGTATGTGTATGTATGGATGTATGTATGTATGTATGTATGTATGTATATATATATGTATATGCACATGAATTAATATTCATACACATGTACTTTTCCTGCGTTCCAGAAAAGCTTCGACCGCAAGGCTTTGGGGCTTGGATTTCTTCAGTAGAGCCTTCTTGCAGCAAGCGTTTAAGCCTAAACCTGTCCCAAGCTGCAAAGTCTTGCTAGCAGGAAGCAGCTGTCGGACTACGCTACCTGGCTGCAAATAGGTGGCCTTTCAAGGGAATTGCGTAAACGGCACAATGGCAACAAGATATGGAGCAGGAACGGGGCTGTAACAGCGCCTGCTCCAAACTTCGCTACTTCGTTGCTGCATCGGCACTGCTAAGGATCCTCAGCGGGAGTATGTGAATCATTGGCTCCGGGGTGATGGCCGAAAGGTACAGATCCAGACGAAACTCAATTTTGCCAAAGCTAAAGAGGCCCAGAACCTGAGATGTTTGATACTGATTCTCAACAACAAGACAACACGCAAGCAAAGTTTCATACCTATTGATTCCGATAGTTACAATGCATGTAGTTTCTCTCCTGCTTTTAAGTGATGCTGTGCACAAGAATTCTGGAGGAAGAACCTGGGAGCAAAAGCAAAGGTGAGGGAAAGAGAGGTGCCGCTGCACAGGTTTGCTACTCCACTTGTAGAAGGCAACCTGTCAAATTTGACATCATCAAGCACCAATCTCAAATGAAACAAAGTTCGCGCTAGCCGCTGGAACACGCCTTGTTGTTGCTGTTGCTGTTGCTGTTGCTGTTGTTGTTTGCGTTGTTGTTGTTGTTGGTGGTGGTGGTGTTGGTGTTGTTGTTGTTGTTGTTGTTGTTGTTGTTGTTGTTGTTGTTGTTGTTGTTGTGGCAATTTTGACAGAGTTGCCCAGACAAGCAAGGAAGCATAGACATATTACATACCTATATATAAAATTGTGGGAAAAGGTACTTTCATGCTACATCAGATTGCGAATCCACGCGGTTCTGGTCTTGGGAGGTGACAAATCGCATGCGAAGAGTCTATAGAGTCTACTTACCAAACACTGAAGGGATGTTATTCTTGTCTTTGCAAGAGATTCCAGCAGGCCATCCTGTCGATAACCCTGTCAGGACGATGGGGCCGCGATAAGGGCAAAGGAAAAGGTGGCTACAGCACTGGCAGCACTGGACAGAAAAGGCCTTTTTGACCTTGCATTCTTTCTGTGTGTATTAACGATTCTTGCTTTCTGAATTTCTTGCTTGCACAGTTTCACTTTGATGTCCTGCAATGAGTGAAGGTCCTGGTATGGCGGAGCCCACGATGATCCTATGGAGGACACCATTCGTGGTGCATAGGACCATAGGTGTCTAACCGTTGATCTGACGGCTTGCAACAGATGATGGTTGTGATGTGATTTGTTTCACCTGCACCCATCGAGGGCACAGTACATAGTTTGCACCACAAGGATTGCCACAGCTTCGACAGTCAAATCAAGACAAAGAGACCTGTATTGAAAAAGGAGTTTGCAAGATTCTTAATCCAATGTGGTGCATGGAGCCAACTTGATTGGCTGTCAAAGGAACAGCTTTGTTTTCAATCCTCATTTTCATTTGTATTCTATTTTCGTTGCTATTATGTTTGCGACCTTTTTCCGGAGAAAAGAACTCCGCTCTTGACCCCACTCAGCGCTCGGCAGTGGATTTAAAAGACCCATCCGCTGGAGAGGGTTGCAGCTGAATGCCCGGAATGCTTGGAATTTGCTTTTCTTAGAATGCCAAGCAGTCACTAGAAGTCTCTAAACAGTTTTCAGCTGCTTGTTGTTTTTGTCAAGCAGCCCACTCAATTACAGTACTAGCCTAGTACTAGCTGCTTGTGAAAAGCAAAGCGACTTTATGTCGAACCTAATTAGAATATGTCTAGGAAGCCTCCAATTACTGTGTGGAGGCATTCCAAGTAGCACATTGCAAGTGACTCTTGTGCATGAGGTGCTGACCGGCTTGGCACAGGCCAAAGAGGAAGATCTCCTACAGGAGTGCATTCAGGTGCATGGGATACGGGACATTCTAATCATGTCTAGTCCCGACAACTTGAAAGAAACTGGACAGAAACATTAAAAAACGTGAATAAGTGAAAGGGTGCAAACCGCATTGGCACAGAAAAATGATGCAAGTCTCAGGCCTTTACAGATGTTGCAACAGTTGAACCTGACTTCTTCAAGGCCAGGGTCTGTGACAGTGATCCGTATTCAGTGTGTGATTTTGCCACCAAAGAGAATGGCACTCCTCTCCGATTTCTGCAAAGTGGCAAGGCTCAGCTCCAGCAGAGCTTGGAGCCTGCGAAGTTCATGGCAACGGTGGCAAGAACTCGAGAGGCCGGTGGATTGGTGAACCCCCTCCATTCGATCAAGTTGAACTTCATGTGAACGCCGTGAATGCTGCAATTGTAAAGAACAGCTAAAAGCAAAAGCCTGCTCAGCAGTCTGACCTTCGGAAATTGGACATAGATATCGCATTCTCTTCACTGCGATCCGTTTCTTGTGCAACATTATAATGTTGCTGATGCAATCCCAAGGGTCCCAATCCCAAACAACTGCAACGAAACCAAATGACTCTCAGGCTTGTGATTCGGGCCTGCGTGGATTGGCCATTGAGTGGCTTGTGAGCTATGTTGAGAAGAGGCGGTACCGCGGTACCTGATCTGAGTCGCTGTGGTCTTTCTAAATCTATGGCGAGCGCTTACTATCACTAGTTTGATTGCTGTTTGTTGTCCCATGGTCCCGCAGTACCACATTCATCTTTTCCCGAGTCGGCCAATCCCTCCGTTCGCACCATCAAGATTGATTGGCGCAAGGAACAAGTTCTTGGTGAAGTCTGTGCCAGATTTCATAAATCTCACACTGGAGTGCTGTCCCTTTCTTAGCAAAGAATCGCAGAGTGATTGCAGCCGAGCATTGAAGCCGTTTGTAGATTTGATCTATTTGCAGGGTGGTCGCTTCAGCTCCTTTAGCATTTCATCGCATTCCTGTGTAGGCATGAGCCTCATGTTGGAAGTGGATGACTCAGAGGAGAAGCTCAAGGTGCTGGTACTCCCTGTTTCAGAAGGAAGACAGTCCTTTTAGTGCAATCATTAGGTTGTCTTATGATTCATCTTAGTTTCACTGCTCCAAGATGAAGTTGTTGCTGCGTTGCCCTTTGTGTATGTCCTTCTGGTTTCTCCTTCCTGCCGGCTGTGAGTTGGTCGGTCAACACCCGCGCCCTTTGTGTATAGATGTGGTTGTACTGTACGTACTCAGTCCATTCTGCCGACACTCCAGCAATGCGAGATTGCTTTCTCGCATGCTGCAGCACTTGGCTCAATAGCTTTCAGACGTACGGCGTACCATCTTGACATTTATTCTAGTTCAGCCCAACCTTTTTCGCTGCTTTTCTTGTTTGAAAGTAGGGTTCGTATTTTGCAATGCAAAGTATCAGAAAAAGGACTTGCCATATTTTGTTTCTGGGAAGAGACTTTTCATATCGTTTACTAGATAATTCCCGTTCAAGCAGCTCCAATGAAAAGGTCTTCTTAGTTTAAACCGGCTTGAAGCAGATGCGGTGACGCAGAAGGGTATTGGGATTTCTGGCCGATGCTTGCGAGTGACTCTCAGTGAACACATTGACATGTGTTTTCTTGCGTTGTGCCATTCCAGCATACATATATGTACACAGTATATATATAATATACAATATATATATATATAATTATATAATATATATATATAAGTCTGCGGATATAGAGCTTAGACAAGACCAGTACTGACCGCAAGCACGCTTAAGTTTGCTGGACAAGGCCTTTAGCGGCAGTTCGACAGCCTGAAACGGAGGCAGCCTGGGAAGCGGAGAAGTCGCGAAAGACGATAGAGTTAGTTTGCATCGCTGGGAAAATATTGCATGCAAAACTAACTACTACTAACATATATATATATATTTAATTATATATATATACACATACGTATATATATATATACATACATATATAGATAAATATATATATATATATGTATATATATTTACATGCACCTTTTTGATTGGCAGGTTGAGGATGTGCCCTTGGACGACGACAGCGCCAGCGAAGGACAGAATTGCGCTTGGGCATTGAAAGACGAATCTGTCAAGACTCGCGCAGGATCAGAATTGTCTGAAATATCTTGCTGAGTCTTGCCATTTCCTGTGCTCCTGGTTCCAGGCAACTCACCCCCGCGCGCTGCACCTGCGAGTGCACCGCAACCTGAAAGCTGAAGCCTCGATGAGACTGAGAAATGATGAGAGATGCTGGGAGATGCTGAGAGAAACGCCATGGTGAAGAATTTTCCCCTGGCCAACTGATCTGATTGCATTTAGATGTTTCTCTCCTTCTGATTCTTTTTCTGTTTGGATGATTTTTCATTGACATTTGCCAGTTTTGGTTGTGCAAGGCAGTGAGGCTCCGCAGCGTGTGTGGGCCTCCAAGGGCATCACTGGCCTGCTGGAGAACGTAGGCGTGACGCTCATTTATACGGTCGCAACATGGGCTATGTGACTGTGACCATTTTGAAGCATTTTGAAACATTAAATACATTTTGATTTTTGATATACTTCGATACTTTTCTCAGTGTACTTTTTCAACGTCTTGCCATGTCCTTGTTTTGCTTTCCTAGTTTCAGCACTGTTGCTGGATTTTGAGCCAGAGTGCCGTAGCCCGAGGTGGTCGCCGGGTGGAAGAGCAAGTTCAGCACAATACCGTTCTTCTGAACGTGTGCCCCAGTGCACTGCCAGTGCACTGCTGCATCCAAATCTTTGTCGATTGTCGCACTTCGAATGGGCGGAAGCGTGCGAACAGGTATGATGTCAGTGACAGCGTGAGGCTCAGAACGTGGCCATGCCAGACCCTGGACTGTTAAGGACTTCCGAAAACGTCAGTTTTCCTGGCTTCTTCTGCTCACTGTGAGACTCTCCGATACAGATCTCGTGTGCAAAATGATTGTTCCATTTTGCTTCAGTATCTTGCACTCCGCGATTTTGAGTCCCACTCCGAGGGTCGTAGAGAGCGATTCAGTCCCCAGATTTGACTCACAGACCTTTGAGCCTAGGTGATGTCATCCAGAGGGTGAATCGCATCTTCACGGCTGATGACAATGTCCTTGCTGGAGGAATTGAAACTCTAGCAAAGCTTGATGCTGGGATCCTACCGCACAGTGATCCTAGCAACCCTGGCACAGGTATTCCCAGTCCAAGTTACAACCAATAAGTCCATAAGTAAAAACGTTTCATTCAAATTCTCCGAACCAAGGGATCCATCATCACTGGAAAGTTGTCCTAACTCAGCAAACCCTGGTGAACAAACCGGAGCTGGCGCTCTGTTTTCATTCGGAGGTGTGGTGGAAGAATTTCTGCAACTGTAAATCATGCAGAACAAATCACTGCACAATCAAACCATGCAGTCAAACCAAAGCTCCACCAAGCAACGGCCTGCAAGCCCATCATCTGATGCAAATTCAGCCAGCCATTAACTCTAATGCTTCTTCTTCGCTGTCCACCAAAAATCCCAAAATTTCATCACGTGGCAACTGACCTCCAGATTTTCCCACCTGTTCTCGGAATTTCTTGGGCAATCTTGCCCACAAATCCCGCTCTTCCAAATCTGAAGGATCCAACTCTGAGGCTTCAGTGTCGGAGTCCATCCCGCCAGCAGCAAACAGAAAACGAAATGCTCAAGAAAACCGAACACCAAGTATCGCGCAACTAAGCCGTTACGCCAATCGCGCAACCAATCCGTTACGCTAAAACAACCGCTAGTGGCCAGCTAGCACAACTGCCATGAATCCACATGGTCAGTGACATCATGAACCTTCATGACAGCATAGAGATCCTAACTCTATCACAACATCATGAAACTCATGACAACTTAGAGACTCAATCTCAAAAGTATGTTACAATAGTCTAGGACCATCGCCCAACAAACCGCACATCCCACTTGCACTCCTGCACCACATGCCCTAATGTGACATCATGAAGCCACTCCGCCGCTCTACCCCCGTTCCCCAGGAGACTACTGTGAATTCAACCCAAACCAAGTATCATCACCGAAAGGAGAAGGTTCCCAAAAACAACAAAACTAGGCAACCGCACAACCCAAGGGTGCTATTGGATCCCCCTTTTCGCCCCTGCGTGTTGACCCGCTTCCCAGTTGCATTGCAAGCACACTTCCAAGCCTGCTTTTGCCAGGAGTCTTTCATGCTGGCGTCGAGGCAGACTTTTCCTGCATTGGGCACTCGCAGAGTGGGCACTACAGCTTTGAGTAGAAAGACTTAGAAAGGCTACTTGCTGGCAGTAACCTCACAATTTTGCCCCAGGTCTACGGGAAAGAATGGTGCTACGGTGCCACTGTGTCCGAAGCCAAGCGGGGCGGTGACACGGTCATAAGCCATGTCTGGTTCGAAATCTTGAAACGCTTTGTACTTCCCACATCTTCCCACCACTTCCGGTCGTTTTTCTGAAGCGATGTCCTACATCCGCCAACCTGTGCGCTACTGCAATTTTGCTGCTGTTGTCGCTCCTCATCTTCCATGTCATAGGATCATGCGAATCACTTGCGATACGAGCGATTTGCTGTTCCAGCCAGCCATTCTTTGAAAGACCCCTGTCTTTGAAGAAACCTCCTGTATGTACTCTGCGACTCGCCCTACAATCAGGCTATAGATACAGTACTTACATACGTAGATGGGAACATACATGGATCCATTGATTATAGATCGATAGACAGATAGAGTCAGATAGAATCAGATAGATAGGCCTGGCATACTCTTCCATCTCTTCCTAGCTCTTCCCATCTCCCTGTGAACAAAAACATCTCAAGGCCTGGCCGCAGTGGAGTGGGCGCAGCCACCTGGCCTAGCCTGGTCGAGCCTGGTTTGTTCAAAGGACTCTCACTGTGATTTGCCGAATATGTGGAGGCAGGAGGCAGGAGGCAGGAAGAGGCAAGAAGAGGCAGGAAGAGGCAAGAAGAGGCAGGAAGGATACAAAACGAATACAAAACGAATCAAAACGAAGAATACATCTGCAAAAGATTCATATTTGCTGAGGTGAAACCACGCCTCCACCCCCAGCATAGGCTAGGAAATCTGGCCATAGGGCTACTGGACAGGCTTTCAAGTCTGTATTGCTTTCAGGCATAGACATAGACAGGGATGCATTTCTTTGGGCCACAGCAGCAGTGCTTCTGCTTTGGAACCTTGAAAGCAGTTTCCAGCACACACACACAAAGCAACAGCCAGGTATCGAGCTACTGTTCACATGGGTCCATCTGGCCTTCTTTTGCTCTTTTGCACTGCTGTTTTGAAAGCACAAAGTTGCAGAGAAAGCATTGTGTCAGTCAGCGCATAATTCGTCTTTTCCCGAACAGCGTAAGCTAATGGGGTCTTCAGCCCAGAATAGCTCCGGTGTGCACTGGTGCAGGTGCCGGGTCAGGTTCAATAGGTTCCGGAAAAAGTTGCGGAGGTTGCAGAGCCAGGTCACGTTCAACAGGGTTCCGGAGAAGGTTCCGGAGAAGGTCGGGGAGGCTTTGGTGCAGAGCCAGGTCAGGTTCAACAGGGTTCCGGAGAAGGTTCCGGAGAAGGTCTGGGAGGCTTTGGTGCAAAGCCAGGTCAGGTTCAACAGGGTTCTGGGTCTGGGAGGCTTTGGTGCAAAGCCAGGCCAGGTTCAACAGGGTTCCGAAGAAGGTTCCGGAGAAGGTCTGGGAGGCTTTGGTGCAGAGCCAGGTCAGGTTCAACAGGGTTCCGGTTTTGGAGCAACGTGCAACAGGGTTCTGAAGAAGGTTACGGAGAAGGTCTGGGAGGCTCTGGTGCAGAGCCAGGTCAGGTTCAACAAAATTGGCTTCGCAGCACGCTTCAGAAAGATTTGTAAGAATAAAACGTTGGGGCTGTTGGGGATACCACCGCAGTTTTTTTTTTCTGAACCTCTCAACATTGTACCATGGTGAAATCAAAAAAGTCTTCCATCTTTAGACACCACATCGCAAGTGGCAGGCTTGGTTGGTTTTGGATTCGATTGCACCAATCCGCCAGGCAACACTGAGAAATCACCTGAGGAGGTGAATCGAATCTTGGTGTGTGACTTGATCGAAATTAAAGAGGTTTTTCTATATTTTTCTATGGTTTTGTGGTTTTGCCTCTTTGCAAAAGGAAAACGTCTTGGAATCTGACAGAACATGGCGTGTCTGTTCGCCTTTTCCTCTGGCGTCGCGATTTTTCGTCCTGAACGTTCAGTGAATTGCAGTGACGTATAGTGACGTGCAGTGACGTGCAGGTATGGCATCCGAATGGCTTGGAGCTGAGTTCTGTGAAACGAGGAATCCATGGTGGCGAGGATCACAGCATGTAATGATGTAATTACATCAATGGCAATGATTGAGTCGTCAATGGCAACGCAGTGGCAATGCGATGGCAATGATTCGGAGTCGTCACTTCGAGCGCCCTTGTTTTGCACAACTCCCAAAAGTTGAGATCCTGCAATTTGTGCAACTAGCGGTCTGTTTTAAAGGATCTCGTGATCTCGGGTTTCATTTTGCCTCTTGTGTTTGGGAAGGCCTGGAAGTGAGTATGATCTGATTCATCACAACTGTCTTACCTTTTGCAATGCTGCTTCCTCAGCCAGTTAGTGCTACGCAATTCGCTGAGATTGACTGCAGATATCTCTGTAGTTCTGACAGGTGTTTATCGGTGAACCAAGGTACTCCTTGGCGAGTTGGGCTTGCGACGCATCCCTGGGTGGGTGGGAACCTTGGCTCGTGCGAAAGGTCTGCCCAAGACTTCATGTCCTGTGCAGAATCAACTTGTTACTTTCTTCTTCTTGAAAATCCTGTGCATTTGCTTTGGCCGATTTCGGAGCTGCTTAAGGTCGACAGAGCTGCAAGGGCAGCCAGCCAGGTAGACAATGTGGTGAAGGCGGTCAGGACCACCTGAGCGCGCTGCTTTCTTGTTTCGAATGTCATGTGATTTTTTGTATGTGCACAAACAGTAGTTATACATTCCAGAGATTTCCAAAGCATTTTTTCTTGGGCTCTCGTTGCCTCCAGCTCTAAGCTTATGCTCAAGGAGCATCAGTGCTGACGAGGTGTGGTCAGGGAACCCACCCAGTTGATGATTCTTTTCAGAGGCATTGCTTATGAAATCTATGAATTGTTTGGTTGCTGGGTTGGTTGTGCACATGCGCCAGGTCTCTTCGCAGGCGGAGGAAACCCTTCAAACGCTCAGGCAGAACGGAAACGGCATGAGACTGTGCGAGACACAAATAACATATCATCATATATGACCATATGACTTTTATAATTGGAATATCCCCGCAACAATGCTAATGCTACAAAATGTGCCGCTGAATTGTGTCATTGAAGGTCTGACTATTCTGACTGCGTTGAGGCGCGATTCCCTCGCCGCCCTCGAGGCGGCCAAAGGCGGGACGCAAAAGTTCCTGGAGCGTGCGCAGGAGTCGCACAGAAACGTTGAGAAAATCTGAGAAAATGACAAACTTTGTTAAATATGAAGACTAAACTGAAGTGAAGATTAAGAGATCAAAGAGCAGAGAGACCAAAGACGGAAGACGGAAGCGAATCTTTGCTAATTACAGAGATCAAGTTGTTTTATTTGAGGAGCAAGCTCAGCAGCCTCTCTCAGAGGCATTGAGTGAACGCAGAAGCCACAAGCTATTATTGTGGGATCTTCGCAGCAGATTTTGCAGTGCCTTTTTATATGATATTTTTTCTTTTTCAATTTGTGTACCTTTATGAACAGAGCGACAGCCGAAGGGACAGGGTGGCGGGGATTGGTGCAAATGGTGATGCCATGGCAGGTATCGGAGATCGGTGCCAAAGCCACGGAATTGGCGGGCCGAGCGGGCAACTCAAGACCGTTTCATGTTTCACCTCAGCCGCCAAGACAAAAGAGGACAAATTGAAAACAAAAAGGCTCAAGAGCAACTGCAGTCTGTTGGTGCCAGCCTGTGGCAGTCTGAGCCTAAGTGCAGGACAACAATGAAATGCCAGTTTGTGAGAAAAGCAAAACACGGGATTTGTATGTAAGCTACTGGAACAATCCTGAAGTTGCTTTGCAACACCTTGATCTTGGATGTAAAATCCCGATTCCTGAGGTGGGGCCAAAATTTACAAGAGACCGTGGGGATATCAGAGGCAAGGCGGGTAGAAGAGAGTTCTCCTTGCTTGTGGATGCAGTATCTCTGCGTGCTCAAGCAGCTCCATTATAAACTCGACCAGATCAGTCAACAGATTTGTAGGCTGCATCCGACATTGGAAAGAAGGCTGAGGCGCACTTGAATTCTTTGTTTGTTTTCTTTAAAGCTGTGTCAACTCAGTGATGAATACATTTGTCCTCGTCTTCCAGCAAGCGATACTCTCTCTCTCTACACTGTACCAGCGAAGCAGTCAAGACCGAATCCGTGGATTTAGTAATACCTTGAACACCTATGAATGCCTAGCATCCTGATGCATCCTGCAATCCTTCGGTTTTCAGACGGATTTTGGACACAGGAGATTCTTTGCCATTGATAGCAGATGTGCAGGATAATTGGCAGTCCTTCTCTGACAGCTTGCGCACGTGGGGCGAGACTGTGACCAAGGCCGGAGATAGTCAGATTGCTTCGATCTGCTTCGATTGCTTGAATGAGCAGCTTTTTATCGACAAGTGATCCTTGTGAAAAATTAAGTCTCCTCCATGAACATTGTCTTTGACTTAGTGTTTCTTTGATGCTCTGATTCCAGAGTGAATGCGGCTGCGACCAGTTTGCCTGCTTGAGTAGACTTGGAATTGGAGTGCATTATTGCGGCTTTGTGAAAACAGTGTGCAAAAACAATAAGGCATGAAGCCACTTATCACGCCTGATTTTCAGTTTGACTGGCTCTGCTTCTTGGAGGATCTAAAACAGACCCTGGAAGGGTCAGGCACTTAGCCGGGTTGACGGTTTGACGTGTGCCAGGTTGATGTGTGTCAAATACGTCTGGTTGGGCCTCATACATGTCGCCTACTATTCGGCACATTGTTGTGCATAGAGTTGACAGAGCCGAAATACACATGTTTGACAAGCCTCAAAAAGTTATGCTTGTGCAGGAGGCTTTGTGCATTCTTAGAGATCTTAGAGCCATGATCCGACAGTGCTAGGTAATTGCTCCTACTGAAAAACTTATACAAGATGCATCAAGATGCACTTCTAGCATTCTGCTTATTGCTCCAAGCACAAAAGGGAAGCCTGGGAATCCTGCCGGCGTCTGGTGCTCAGACTTGTCATACGACATTGAGAGAAGGAAAGCGCCTGAGAGCTCGATTCAGAGCCACGTGCCACGAGAGCTTTGTCACTGCACTTTGCAGATCTCTGGAAATGTGTGGAAGAAGATGGAAGTTTGATGAAGTTTGGAATGGAGAGCAATGGATGCTGATTTCTCCTTTGTCCATTGCTCTCAGGGCGGCTACCATTCAGCATCACCTGGCAACGGCCTCAGATTCTTCCAGAGCAGTGAGGTTCCTGGAGACTGAGAAGTGTCATGACATCAGTGAGACGGTGAGACTCAAACTGCCGAGGAGATGAGCGCGGAACTGCTGGTCTAATCAAGGCTCCAAAACATTTGGCAACACATTTTGAGGATGGCTCATACGCCTAATTGGATGTGAGCAATAAAACGTGGAATCTATTCTCATCATTTCAAATCATTTCTCATCCATTATCTTGAACAAACACTGCTTTGTTACCCTTTCAACTACACTTGATCGTTGAGCGCAGGCTCAGGAGGCAAGCTTGCTGAAGCAGGGACTGCTGGACGAGGCGACAGGGCCGTTTGCCACGTTTTACACGAAATTTCCTGTGACATCTGTGACGGGGCAATATGGGTGTCTACGGGGCATCTCTGCATGTCTCCCAGGACGAAGATGCGATGGAGCCCGAGGCATCACTGCGAAGAATATTGGTCATATCTTGGCAGTATCAGGTAGTATCCATATGCGCAGAAAAACTCTTGAGACGACCTTTCGGTTGGTTCTTGGTCTCTGTTCCCATACTTTCTGGGCAATACTTACCATAGCTCCCACCATATCAAGCATTGTCCAGCCATCCTGCTTCCGCTGCCTTGCTGCAGCCCTTGCACCTGTTCTGCTCTCGAAAAGCAATGGGACAGGGCACTGTAAATCATTGAGCCATCATTTTCGTGGCTTGGGCCCTGCAATTCCTCAGGAGTGGTAGAGAAGGGTTACTAGTTAATCGGTCAAATCGGGTTAAACCTAACCCTCGAAGAGCAACAAACATCTCAGGAAAACCCATAAAGACAATGCTTACTTCCACATCTCTTGATGCGTGAACATGGCTGACTTCTTCCACTGTTTGTCCAATCTTGAGACAAGGATTGTTAGAACGAACGTCCTCTCACCATCCTCATCATCATCATGAAGCCCGCATGACCCCACACATAGACCAACTGAACTCACAGCCAGGCACCTGGTGCCAGAGGCCAAACAAGTCAGTCTCTCCCTTATCATTAGAGTACTTTGATGTACTTCGTGTCAGAGGCTGTGCAGTCACTCCAACCATCATGATCTTTCCAGCGCGTGAAGCCAAGGCCTGACCTTTTGACCTGGGATGAGGCCCTGCTTGTTTGGACATGGTTGGACATGTGTGAACATGATGATGGGCTGGCCAAACTGTCCCGTCTCCAATGTAGTTGTTTCTCGATGTTTCTCGCCAGTGTTGATTGTTTTATTTTGATTCAACGTGTCGAAGATGTTGAAGTTCAACAGGCTCCTGCAAAGGCGGCGCCAACCCAGGCTGGCTTGCAACTTCATTGCCAAAAATGGCAATCGCGTCCTTTGATTTCTTGAAGCAAATACCAACAGTTCTTTTGCCAGGTACTCATACCTCTATCCATATCGTAATCTTTTTCATAAGCTGGTCCCTCATGGGCTTATCAAGTCAATTACACATGTGCAAATCTATATCATGACATCATCAAATGGATCCGATGCCGCATAGAGAAAGGCTTTGCGGCATTGTTTGAGGGAAGAAACATTGATTTACAGCGTTTTTGAATGTTTTGAACGTTTTTGGACTGTTGCATTCAAAACCACTGTGAATGAATACCAAATGTTCTTACCCTCATAAGGGCGGCCCAAACGCCCATATCTGCTTTTCCTGTTCATTTCTTATTCCGACAGACGTAAAAAACGGGAACATGTTATCAAATATGAGCTTCAAACAGCACAAGAGACAAGACACTGTGATTTGCAGTGGATTGCGCATACCCTTCAAATATAATGTCTTTTACAATATCAGTGTTCTTGTCATTTCTTCAACCTTAACAAACATTGCCCTTTACAGCATGTTCTTTCTTCAAACCATGGAACGAATGATCGAAAACCATTCAAATTCATTTCCCCGCAAAAAAACACTACTCATTTTTTCACTCCCAAATCCTGATTTTTCCGAATTTGTTTCTGCCTCTCGGAACCCTTCCGCGGCATTCCCCTAGCCCTAGTTTTTTGTGGCATTTTTTGTGGTGAGGCTCGGCGGAAAGCTTAACAGAGATCGCGTCTGCTATCCGAAGAGCGTTTTATATCTAGGGTGTTCTGCAAGAGTGTCTTACCATCCTGTCTTACCATAGTGTCCCACAGAAGTGTCTCACAGAAGTGTTTCACAGAAGTGTTTCGGAAGAGTGTCTCAAAGAAGTGTTTCACAGAAGTGTCTCACAGAAGTGTCTCGGAAGAGTGTCTCCCAAGAGTGCCTGACAGGAGTGGTGTTGGTGTTGTTGGTGTTGTTGGTGTTGATGGTGTTGTTGTTGTTGGTAGTGGTGGTGCTGCTGCTGGTGGTGCTGTTGGTGCTGTTGTTGTTGTTGTTGTTGTTGTTGTTGTTGTTGTTGTTGTTGTTGTTGTTGTTGTTGTTGTGATTGTTGTTGTTGTTGTTGTTGTTGTTGTGGTTGTTGTTGTTGTTGTCGTTGTTGTTGTTGTTGTTGTTGTTGTTGTTGTTGTTGTTGTTGTTGGTGTGTTGTTGTTGTTGTTGTTGTGGTTGTTGTTGTTGT